ATCTAGGTCTTTCATCTTTGTTCTCATACTCAGGGAAAAAAATTGCCAACTGAGCCAAAGACTGTTTCATGAGTCTTATCTAAAAGCTACCACACTATAATGAAGTGCTTTGTCAATCAGCCAGCAGTGAAATGACTCTTCATAATCAGCTTCAAATAATGTGAGTTGTGTGACAACAGTCCTTTGACCATAACACATTTATCATAAAGGTTTACTGAAGAGCACCTGTTTGAGCATATTATTTTGCCAGTAGCTTTTTATATAGTTTTAAAGGGGAGGACATTTAATGCTGTCATTCGTAAACAGTCTACACCGGAACTTGTTAACAGTGTTAAAGCATGGTTTCAACAAACACTTAAAAAAAGTCCTTGACCATACTGAAGCAGCAAAAAAATAATAAATTATGAAGGAAGGCACTCTAGAAACTAGTCTGAATTCCTCACTTACCCCTGGTCTACACTAGGGATGTGATGGACTAGTCAGCTAGTTGACTATCCGATAAGCATTTGCTTATTGGATAGTTGACCTGCTATTTGACTAGTCACTTCCCTCCTCCCCCCACTCCCCACTGCCTCTATCAGAAAGAGGCAGCAAGGGGTGGGGAGAGGAAGGAATACTTCAAAGTGCAACACCACTTGAAGCCTGGGGCAGACCCCGGGCTTCACACAGCGCTGCCACTTTGAAATGCTGCATGCAGCCCAGGGCCAGCTGGGGTGTCTGTAGGCTGCGCATGGCATTTCAAAGTGGCAATGCCATGTGCAGCTCCGGATCAGCAGGAGTCCCCAGCTGACCCCCGGGCTCCATGCAGTGCTTCTGCCTTTGAAGTGTAGCAACAGTCATAATGCATCAACTATTCAATTAGTCGATATTGAACGTCCTTAGTCTACATGAGGGGATAAGTTCGAATTAAGGTACTTAACTTCAACTGCGTTAATTGCATAGCTTAAGTTGAAGTATCTTAAGTCAAATTTTGGCTCCGTCCACACAGCAAGTTGAAGGGACCACACCCTCCCTTCGACTAACCTTACCCCTCATGGAAGCAGGACTACTGGCATCAACAGGAGCACCCTCTCAGTTCAAATTAGCATGTCTTCACCAGAGACGCTGATCTGAACCATGGAAGATCGATTGTGTCTGCTTCAATCTTATCTGTAATGTAGACAAGGTCCCTTAGAGTCCTTGAACATTACAGTTCCTTCTGTTCTACAGGAAGAGGATCTCACGTACAGGAAATCAAGCTTACTGAATGGCATCTATCTTGTGGAACAGGCAGCACAGTGAAATTTTAAAGATTTTAAACATCAGCTATTAAATTATGCATGAAGAGAGTAGTACTCCCTCAACGCAACTTCAGACTACCCACAAAAGTCAATGTATGGTGTATATTCTCATCACAGGGGTGCAAAAAAACATTCAGGTAAAAAGAGCTTGAAAATCTCTGCATATTTATGGCGCTGGTATAATCTTATAGCCCTTAATGTATATGTTTGTCTGTTAAGATAGTATTAAAAGGACTCTGTCAGGACAGTTTAGACCAAGTTTAAGATTTGTACAAATAACTTTTACGAATGTCTATAAAAAGGTTTGTTATACGAAATCATTTTAATGGATTTCTCTGAAATCTCTGAAAACTACTAACTGTAACCTGTCATTTTTTCTTGGAATGAAACAAAAATATCTAAATGTTTTGTCAAGGTGCATTTATTTTCTGGGGAGGAACTAAATCCAAAGAATCAAATACATGACAGTAGTGAAGGGCTTTTTGGTTTCAAGCCACGTGTGTCAAGTCACCTCATAACTCACAGTCTGCTCTCTGCACATCAGTAGTTCTGGAGCAAGAGTATGCACCATCAAGACTGGGCATGTGCATATCCTTGGATAGGTCAGGCTCTGTTTTTTGTTTGCCTTCTGCAATGTGCTGATTTAATACACTTTGGGAACTATAATAAATCCTAAATCCATAAAAGTTAATTACTTAACTTAATTTGCATAGGTTTAATAAGTTCTAACTGTACTTTCCTTTTTTGGATTGTAAATGACACTCAAAACACAAGGCACTTGATTTTGTTTTCGATCCATCATGGTGTTCCACTGATAAAAAGCCAATGGGCATATTCCTGATTTACATCAGTGTACATGAGATTGGAGTCCGGCCCAGTAGTCACTTCTGCTTAGTACTGATGTCCTTTGGAGTACCCCATAGTGCAGTTACTTGGTGGCTCTAATGCAGAATTCTCCAGTTAACTTTGAATTGTGACATTATAGCCTATACTTGTCATCCAAATGCCTGTTCTTCAAAGAGCTAAAGTCTCTAACAATACTTGTTTGCTACCTGGATCTTATGTCAATATATGCTGCTAAAACTGGCTAATTGTCCACAGTTAATATTTCATACTAGAGCAGCCTGGGCAAAAAAAAATGTGCTGCAATGTAAAGAATTGTACTCTACTGTCAGTAGGGGGCAATCTTGGCATAGAATTTGTACAGAATGCTTGCTTTCCTCTTTACCCCTCTCATCTCCCCCCTCGTTGCCCCCATTCTTTTGTGTAGAAAACTAAACAAGAGGCAAAAATATTTTTATAATGGAGTCATCATTAAATATGTCTCCGTCAAGCCTAATGAATAATTAATTTCAGCATAATTATTATTGCAGATTATACATCCCGAATTCTGCTCTGTGATCAACAGTAATTATCCAAAAATGCCCCATCTTTTCAGAGTTGCTGATGTAAATGTCTGTGTTGCTAGAAAATAATAGTTAAGTGTTGTTTATGGTAAAGGTAATAACCTCTGAATTATTCATTGCCATGTGACTGGCTGGCTTTTCAGCATCCCTATGCCCTTTGACTTTCCTCGGGTGAATATTTACAGTAAGTCATTTAGGCTAATGCCAAAGAAAATTAAATTTCTTGATTGGTTGTCACTAGAGCAGTAATAGCTGCAGAATTCTGAGAAAGAGGAATTCCCTTTCCAGGCCCCCTTCAATAGCTTTATATTAAATGTCATCATAAAATATGTAAGCACAGAGACTAATCTTTTTAAAAACGAAACACAAGAAAATGGCCCATTTTAATTCAAACCTCTGTTACATTTCTCATAATGTATTAATTAAGAATCTATAAAATCTATTTTAGTAGAGTCTTCAGCATGCTCAGTACGCAGCAGAGCTGCTAAACTTTATCCCTGAGGCAAACACCAAGCCAGCAGAACTGCAAAAAGAAAGAAAACAACAATGGAAGCGTAGCCCAGTAGCAGTGATCTTTTCAATGGACTTGCTCAGTCCTTAAATAGGCTGCTGGTTGGTTTGTGTGGTGGGCTTTGCCCCAGCCCCTTCAATACCCTAACTGGCTAGCTCCTGGTCCAGAAATCTCCAGAATCGTTCTCTGCTTCATGTTTCAGTTTTGAATGCTCTTGTCGCCTCTCTGGGTCATAAGAACCTAGTGAGTGAGACTATGCAAAGATGGCTTAGGATAGACAGGAATGAGGGAGCCTTGTTCGTGCCCTAAGCTACAATTGATGGTATGTGAAGGATTTATTTTCAAATTCTCAACCTTTTTATTTCTTTTCAGTGAAGAATGAAAAGGTACCAACCGTGAAAGACACTCACATTATGTATATTGTATATATAATGTGCACGGTCACATTATGTACATTGTATATAATGTGTGTTTATATATGGTGACAACCCACGACCTGCATGGTGCTAATGTGGGGGATTTTAATTCAGTTCTTACTAATATTTATAATGGAATATGTCCCTGTAGATGTACATTGTGAATTATAAAACATCAGGTCCCTGCCCCCAAAAAGTTTCCTAGGCCTTGTCTACAGACAGACTTTGCTCAGCTGCAAGCATGGAGCTTGAGGTGTAGAACATGTATTTACTCATACAGGTATGTTGAGAGAACCCCTCCTGTGGATGCCATTATACCAAAATAAAGGTCCTTGATACCGGTACAGCTCATTTCCCTTCCCATACGTGAATAAGCTGTACCAATATAAGCCTCACAGGGGTAGCCAAGTTAGTCAGTAACAGGAAAAACTTAAAAAACAACAAATAGTCTGGTATCACTTTAAAGACTAACAAAACATGTAGGCTATGTCTACACTGCAGGCTTCTTGCACACGAACTGTTTTGCACAAGAGTTCTTGCACAAAAGGTCTTGTGCAAGAGCGCGTCCACACTGCCATGTGCTTTTGCACAAGAGCGCCCGTGGCAGTGTGGGTGCTCTCTTGCGCAGGAAACCCCTGTTGCCCAGGGATTATTCCACAAGAGGGCTTATTCCTTGTGGGGAAAAAAATAATTCTTGCGCAAGAAGCCCTCTGTTCCGATATTTTACTGTAAATTTACTTGCGCAAGAATGCACGTGCACTGTAGACGCTCTGCAAGTTTTTGCACAAGAACAGCCATTCTTGCGCAAAAAGCCTGCAGTGTAGATGCAGCCATAGATGGTATCATGAGCTTTCGTGGGCACAGCTCACTTCATTTGAAGCTCATGATATCAGTCTTTAAAGTGCTACCTGACCATTTGTTGGTTTTTAAGTTTTTTCCAGTATAAGCCTTTTCATATCAGAATAAGCATGTTTATACTGGTATAACGGCATCCATATTACAGGGAGTTGTATTGCTTTAATATTGTGCCAGTACAGTTGCACAACTTCGTAGTGTAGACAAGGCTTAACAGTTTAGTCCTACAATTCTCATTCATGGCAGTAGTCCTACCTCATGCCAATTAGCCTCATTAATTGCAGTGAGATTATTGGCACGAGTACAGGCTGTTTCAGAAAAATACAGTACCAGAGGTAATGGTTCAAATGTGGGAGAAGGGGAGGGGAAGTCAATGTTAAAATGCTTCACAAACAGTCTGATCTTAGAGGAGAGAGGTAGCACATGTCACGTAAGAATTGAGAAACTAGAGTAAAAGAGGCCTTTACACCACGCTCCTGTACTGGTTCCCAGCTAAACCCATTCTTCACTCCTGATATCTTCTTTTCTTCAGCGGTGATCCCTCTGACTGACTCTGAACACAAGTTACTGCCTTTGCACTTTGCAGTTGATCCTGGGAAAGACTGGGAGTGGGGGAAAGATGACAATGATAACACCAGACTTGCCAAGTAAGAACTCTTTATAATCTTAATAATAAGGTGTCTTGAACACATCTAGCATGATCTATGACCATGACACTCACTAATTATAAGGTTTATTGGGGCAAAACAGGTGAGTGGGTGGGTCAAAACCTTACAAACATGATGGGAGGGGCTGTTAGTCTGAACAACACAAGTTCTCTGGTGTGGTGAAGTTAAGCACTGATTTTCCTTGGATGTATTTTTAACTAATTAGTCATCTGTTTTCTTTTCTCTGTTTTTCTTCAGCTTGATTCTGTCTCTGGAGGCAAAGCTTAATCTCCTGCACAGCTACATGAATGTAACCTGGATACGCATACCATCCGAAACACGGGTAACCCTTCCCTCTGCTTAAACAACAGACACAATAGGGCATGTTCATTGGTGAGACTGAACGGTTCAGCTACCTACCTTATGTCAATAGCCAATAAAGGCGCAGAGCTTGGTGAAGTGCTTTAATTTTGGAATAAGGCTTTCAAATTTGCCATCTCATTTTCTTTTTTTAAAATAAATAAATGAAACACACACACCCACAGAGCTGCTTGAGTGTTTTTGCAGCATACACCCCACTTTGAAAAGTAGTTTCTAGTAAAACTGCTCTTTTGGAATTATTTTTCTTTAGGAATTTTGTTTTGTTTTATTTTAGAGTTCTTTATTTTTAAAGGTTTCCTGAACTATTTATGCTCCCATAATTCCAAAAGGCCTTTTCAGCAGCAGCTTGTGATCCAGCAGCCAATTTCAACTCAATTACTCTTATAAGAACTAAATTTCAACCCCTGGAAAACTCATAGCTTCACTTTTACATTAAAAAGTGGCTGACAGGGCCACAAACTGAAGTGGCAGTCTGGCACCCGGGAAAGAGGAAGCTATTTCACATGGGGCATAGCAGAGACCTCATTGCTGCATCTCTCACACACAATTCCTGTACAATTTATATTACAGAAGATGAGGTTGGTCTAATGTGAAAAGCTTCATGGGTGAGGACAAAAGTAATTAGGTACCCTGCACAACGGGGGGCTGAAAAGAGAAATTAAAGATTCAGGAAAAACAGAAGAGGAGAAAAAAATTGTTTTACATGGCCCAACCTATACTCAGTGAAGGCTCCACTCCTATTAAGATATTTTCAGATGTTTTCTTTCCTTTGTCAGCTCCAATTATTCCCACGTATTCTCTGCCCATCCCTCGCATTGGCAGAACCTCAGTTCCTCCATTTGCTTGTGAATCACGTCTGCTCCTATTGTAGTGTTACCTCCCACTGAATTAATCTGCCTGCACAAACAAGCCCCATCTCTATTATTATTATTGTATTAATTGACAAGCTCATGGGCTGACTTCTCATTCTTCTATAACGAGGGTTGGACATTGTTTTATGAAGCCACGATGAACCTCGTTTTTAACTGAAGAAGGTTCCCCGAGAGAATTCTGGCCCCTTTAAAGCCAATGACAGAACTCCTATTGATTTCAGTAAAGCCAGGATTTCACCCTTAGCATTAGAGAAGATAAATGTGTCCTTTTTCTTGTATCCAATATTAGTCAGGAATATAAAGTACAATAGACTTCCAATAATCCGGCACTTTTGGGACCTAGGTGGTGCTGGATTATCGGATATGCCAGACTATCAGGAGGTACTATAAGGGGACATACTCCCAACCCAATCCCCCTCCCCTCACTCTAGCCTAATTCTTGGGTCCCAGAGTTGCCGTGACAGCCGCACATCTCTCTCCAGGCGCTGGGGCACGTGTGCTCAGCGGCAGGCTTTCAGCATGAGCTGGCCGGGACACCGTGCACAACCCAATTCCCCTCCCCTCCCCTTCCCCAGAGCCAAATACCTCCCCTCCCTGCTTGTAACCCAATCCCCCCACACACCTTATGCTCGGGTCCCGGAGCCAGAGCCTCTGCGCCGCATCTGGGACTCCATGCGCACCTCCCTCCTCCCCGCCCTGATCCCCCTTCACCTTCTCCAGGCATCTCTCCCCCGCAACCTTATGTCCAGGTCCCAAAGCAGCTGCCTGAGCTCAGCAGCTGGCTGCTAGCTCATGCAGGCTGGGACGCTGTCTGCGACCTGGCGTGCACATGCAGGGTAAGACACAGTGTGCCAGGGTCCATGAGCGGAATAGCGTGGGCCCTGAGCGTGCATGCAGCTCACAACGGCCTGGCCGTGAGAGCAGCTGACCTGAGCAGTTCTGTCCTGGTTCCATCAGGAGCTGCTATTTTTTTCCATCAGGAGCCTTGGGTTGGCCACCCCTATACTAGGCTCTTGCTATTTTGATGCCGCACTATCGGGAGTGCTGGACAATTGGATGTCAGACTATTGGAGTTTTACTGTATATCAGTACAGAGCACTGCTGCTCCTTGTGTTGTTTGTATGGGGGTCTTTTTGATTGAATTGACTGTCCCAGAGAAGAAGGACTAGTTCTTACTGAATCACAATGTGTAAGTCACTCTGCCAAGAACATAATGTTGTCTTGCTTGTGCTTTTGCACAGCTAGATAGCAATAAACCAGTTATTGACAGGTTTATTTTGGATGAGGAGAATGGCATAACTCATAGCACTTCCCCAGCAAAGCTGAAACTTCTTTGATGGAACGAAGGTGAACTTACCCTTTATGCAGAGGGGCAGCCATACAAGCAGGAGCAGGGGGGGGGCTGCCACACCCCCTGGCTTTAGGGAGTTTTTATTCTATACAGGGTGTACAGATTAGTTCAATGGTTCTCAGCACCCCCATTAAAAAAGCTGTTCCAGAACTCTTGTGGCCAGCACAAGGAGATGTACCACTTAAGCCTTATTTTGAGGACGTAATTGATACATAGTCCCAGTTCTGGCTTTGTGCACAGGGATGAATTATGCTTTGAAGGATTATGATCTCACATTCGCTGTAAAGATTTCTGGTGCTGCCTAGTGCTCAATATCCATTGTAGAGAGTGAGTGGTTTGGGCGCTCATCATCTTACAGGATCAGCCCTCTGTGTTAGCAAGCATTTCACTAGAGAGTGCAGGTGTTGCAGTAGTTTGAGTCTAGCTCTCTGATCTAGAGACTTTTATTTTTATCCCCGTGGCCATAATTGAACTTCTGATCTCAACTTAGACCTTAATGAACACTGGTCTCTCTTCCAGCCATGCAATTTAGTACAATTTTCAGCATCTGTTTCAGGGGGACTCAGGATTGAGATTGTAAGAGTGTTGCCAGCTAGGGCTGAGATGGATTCCTAGTTCAAGAACCTTGCAAGTCATTTAACTATTATTTTCATAGCATTTGCGAGTGCTGTTATTGTCAGGCTTCCACAAGTCCCCAAATATTATTACATTGATGCACCTTGAGAATGGTGTGGTAGCCTCGCTCTCACAGAGCATAAACCGATATGTCACAAATGAGAGAGAGCAAATTTGTACTAAGGGTTAATGTTGTAATTGACACTGAGTTAGTAATCTTGCTAAATCTTGTAGTGAAATTTACTAGCCCTGGCACAAAATCCATTACCAGTCCTTTACCTTGATGGTAAAGAACATTACTCTCTGACCCAGAAAAATGTCACTTTCCCTCAACAAATCAGTGAGTAGAATTTTGCAAATTAGAATGAACATGTGCAAGTTTGAAAGCTGCAAGAATTTCCTATGTCCCATTTGGAATCCTTTTGTAACTATTTTATGCAACCAGTTGTGTAATTTCACCTCTGAACATGAACCGGAACTCAGATTTCCAAATAAATGTCAAGTCCTTCTGCATTTTGTGATTGGCTGTAGTGTATACTATTTTGTTAACTAGTTTCGTTGCAGAATTTTGCTACTTATCTCTGAAGTAATTTAACTTCTGTTTTGTTCATTGTAGGCCCTGTAGACTTTAGAGGTTAATGAAAAATTAACTTTAAAAAGTCTGTCTATAGATGTAAAGCTACAAAAGTTAGAGTAATTAGAGCAGTTTGATGGGGGATATAAAACTTTGTCCTAATGTAAAATTAATTTTATTTTATTGAATCCTAACTAATTTCTCCTAACAGGCCCCTTTGGCCCAGCCAGAATCACCCACCGCTTCTGCAGGGGAGGATGTTCAGTCTCTGGCTGACTCAATGGACTCAGACCGAGATTCCGTCTGCAGTAATTCAAATGGCAGCAATGGCAAAAATTGTAAAGAAAAGGAAAAAGACAAACAGAGAAAAGATAAAGACAAAAACAGGACGGATTCAGTTGCCAATAAACTCGGAAGCCTCAGTAAAACTCTAGGAATTAAGCTGAAAAAGAATATGGGGGGGCTGGGCGGGCTGGTGCATGGCAAGATGAACAGAGCAAATTCAGGGAATGGGAAAAATGGGGACATCATGGAAAAAGGCAAAGAGAAGAAGTCGAAGTCTCGCAAAGGGAGCAAAGAGGAGTCTGGACAGTCCGCGAGCACGTCTCCATCTGAGAAGACAACTCCCTCTCCTACTGACAAGGCGAGCGTCTCACCCGCTGAAAAGATGAACACGAAATCCCTCTCTGACAAACAGTCTGATGCATGGAAATACAGCACCGACGTGAAGCTGAGCCTCAATATTTTGAGAGCTGCCATGCAAGGAGAGCGCAAGTTTATTTTTGCTGGCCTTCTTCTGACTAGCCACAGGCATCAGTTCCATGAGGAGATGATCGGCTATTACCTGACCAGTGCCCAAGAGCGCTTCAATGCTGAGCAGGAACAGAAGCGAAAGGAGGCTGAGAAAAAAGCTGTTCTCAATGGGTCATCCTGCAGGAAACTGGAGCAAGAATCATATTCAAAAGAAAAGTTAGAATCGTCTCCTCAGGACAGGGCATCACCAGTCTTGCCTCAAAGCCATACAACTCAACTGGTTTTAAAGTTTAAAGATCGCACTAGTCCCACTCCAGGGTCATTTTCTTCACCTAGTAATGGTGCTAAGAAAAGTGGACCCGTTCCAGTATCTGCCCACTATAGCCATACACCACCTGTTCAAAGGCAAAGCGTTATTCATTTGCATGATGTCAACTCCAAGCCATCGAGCTTCCAAGACGATAGCTATAAGCCAGTAGTTGGCACCTTAAAAACATGTGCCACTTATCCTCAACAGAATCGATCACTGTCTTCACAGAGCTATAGCCCAGCCCGGATAGCAGGGATCCGTACAGTGAACACAGTGGAATCACTGACCTATGCCTTGCCTACCGAACACAAGTCCCAGACATTTACAAATGGGTTTAATACCGGAGATATCAGAGACTGCTTAGAATATGCTGATGAGGAAGCTCCTCAGACCTGGTTGAACAATGATAAAAATCGAGGCAGAAGCACAGTTTGCCCAATATATTCCATCCAGCAGAACCGTTGCAAGAAGGAGAACTGCTCCTTTTATGGTCGCCCTGAGACTGAAAATTACTGCTCATACTGCTACAAAGAGGAGTTAAAGCGCAGGGAGAGAGAAAATAAGGGACACCGGCATTGAGGATTGGGAGGCTCCTTCCCTAACTACTTAGTTTAACCATTTTCTTACTTACAAAGTAAATAGCGATGGATTATAGAAAAAGGAATCCTAAAAAGGGAATGATAGGTAAATAATGTCTAGTTTGTCACTTTTCTGGGGCAATGCAGAAATAAGAGGATTAATTTATCATAAAGAATTTATTATTTTCCATTTTGTCAGTGTCTTTTTTACATACTCTGGTAAGCTGAAAGGTTGTTTACTTCTTTGTCAGTGCTGTGTATATGTTTGGTCAAAAATGTACTAATGGTGCCTGAATTTACACTGACATCACTCAGGTAGTAGAATGACAGGGAAAAAAGTCATAATACTGGAGATGTGGTATTGTAATAGAATAGTATATGCCTCGTATACATTTGAAATTCTATAGCCATCATAGGAGTGATTTTTTTCTCAATAGAAAGTAAATATTTTCATATCCCTTTTTTAGAAGAGTCATAATTTTGCATACTGCACATTTTTAACATTGTTACACTACATATCATGGACTACTTTTTATTACATTACTGTAAACATTTGTATTCATTTTAGTGTGAAATGCAACGTCTCCAGGAAGATGTGAATGAAGGTCTGGATTCATGAGGACTCTTATCTCTTCCTAACCATAGGTGCTTTTGGATATTTTTCCCCAGATCAGTAAAAATATGTCCTATTCCATTAGTTAATTTGCTGTGAAATCCTAGACAGACATTACTATAAACATAGTGGACCTATTATATGCAAAATTTCATATCACACAACAATCCCAGCAAATAATTTTAATCGCATTAACTTCATCAGCATTTCTATGGCTGTGAAGGTGAGGAGAAATTTATAAAAACTACCTAAAAGATGGCCTGGGTTTCTATAACTTGCTCACCAACCAGAATTTTTATAGCCAATGACCTATTCAGCACAAATAATTAGTAAAATATATTCAATTTCTATGTCTACAATCTGACTTCTTTTATTTATGAATTTGTTCTTTGTCCAAAATTATGGATGAATGGTTATTACAAAAATACTTCCTCAGGCCCATAGTCAGAGGTGGTGTGAAGGGTGTGAAAGCATCCTCATGGTCCCCCATATTCTGGGGCATGCTGCAGCCAGGCAGTGGAAGGCAGGAGCAGCGCGCTGCCCAAGCCTTCCTCCCGCATATTCTGGCTGTCCGGGGGAAAGCAGGGGCTGATTTCCCCGCTTACTTGGGAGATCATGGTGGGTACATTCACACCCTTTGCCATCCACATTTACAAAAAAAAGCACCCTGCGTACGGGCCTGTTCCTTCTAAGCACTTTTCCAGTCTATTTGTTGCAAATATTGTTTTGAGTCTTGTGGACTGAACGACAGCCACATCCACAAAGAGCTTTGAGGATATCTGTGCAAACACTTCCAGCATGAATACTCCTGCAAATGCAGATTTATACAAGTCTTCGTAGCCAAATATTTTCAGAGGTATTTGTGATATTTCTTTCCTCTCTGGGAATAAAGTTTTACTCTACTGGCTATGTGTGAAAAGCAGCTCGAAGGGTTTGCAAATACCATCCAAGTACATTTGTGGTTCTTAATACAAGACGTTTTTTCTGAACACTATTTGCAGTTTTCATGCTGCCAATCAATATAAGTTTGGCAATAAAATAAACTCAGATTTTTTTCAGTATTGATACAGTTGTAAACATTGCCTGATTTTCCTATCTGTAGCTTCAGAGGGGTAGCTGAGTTAGTTTGTAACCGGAAAAACTTAAAAAACAACTAATAGTATTGCAGCACCTTAAAGATTAACAAAACGGCTGTGTCTACACTGGCATGAATTTCCGGAAATGCTTAAAACGGAATACTATTCCGTTTTCAGTTTTTCCGGAAAAGGAGCGTCTACATTGGCAGGCTGCTTTTCCGGAAAAACCCTTTTTCCGGAAAAGCGTCTGTGGCCAATGTAGATGCGCTTTTCCGGAAAAGAGCCCAAATCGCCATTTTCGCGATCGGGGCTTTTTTCCGGAAAAGACTACTGGGCTGTCTACACTGGCCCTTTTCCGAAACAGTGTTCCGGAATAAGGACTTATGCCCGAGCGGGAGCAGAATAGTTTTTCCGGAATAGCGGCTGATTTTGTACAGTAGAGCATCGTTGCTTTTCCAGAAATTCAAGGGCCAGTGTAGACAGCTCACAGCTTATTCCGGAAAAGCGGCTGATTTTCCGGAATAAGTGGCCCAGTGTAGACACAGCCTAGATGTAGATGGTGTCACAAGCTCATTTTCTGCAGGCATACAGAAAAGCTTTTGCCTTCAGAACTCTCTTTGGTCATTCTCTGCCATTCTCAGGATCATTCGTATTATCCAAGTATTAAAAAAACACTTTTCCTGGCCCACAAAAGGCTTAGGGCCTAATTCTCACCACACAGACTCAGGTCTCGCATGTGTGTAACTGTTAATTTGAGTACAGTTGTTCCTATTTAGTATCAGTGTGAGCTCAGTCAGTCCCTTTGGCCCTGATTCATTTTCTGGACAGCATTTAAACATGAGCCAAGTCCCGCTTGAAATCAGTGGAATTTTGTTTCATTCTTAGAGGTAAACAGATATTTAAATGTTTTGCTGAATCCGATCCTGGAAGACATTTTTATTAAATAGATTAATGAACCATCCCTAAGAAGATGAATTTGTTAAAAAAAAAAATAAAAACCTTGTGGGTAGTACCCAACTAGCTCTTTCATGAATTCAGACCTGTGTTGAATTTGTGTCCATTTGTCATGAAGGGAACATGTTATCAAGCTAAGTGAGTTGTTAAAGTGTCCTTTATTGTGAGACTCCCCCTTAAGAAGCCTAGAGTTCAAAATCATGGTTCTTGATGTTGCCACAACGTCTTTTTTGGTTAGCTGTAGCGAGTAAGTGTATGTTCTCATTGCCAAAGAAATCTGTGATTTCAGATCATCTTAAAACAAATCAAACATATTTGATTTGTATATGTTAAAGTGGGGGAGAGAGAGAAAGAGAGAGGACAAAATATTAAATAATTATTAGACTAGCAGTAGCATTTGATATTCCTGTAAATGCTCCTATATAAAGTTGTTTGAGAAAATTCCATTTAGCATCCAGTTGCTCTTGCCCATTTATTTGATTCGGCTGCATCATCTTTGAATAAGAAGAAATTTGGTCCCAGTGCATACTTAAAAATGCATACATTATTTGTTTTAAGTTTTAAAAATAGCTTATTTAGTAAAGTTTTAGATGCAATTTTCCTCAAAATAAGAGGTTTGCAAAGTCAATATTTCCATAAGCAGGGCTTGACAAATTAGTCAAACTACTCGCCCAGGGTGAGTAGATTTTAAGCCAGTACGGCGCCGCAGCGCATGAGCAGCGTGGTCTGTGTATGCGCAGCGTGCCAAGCCGCGCAGCTGGCAAGCAGGGCTCGCCGCAGCTTGTCAAGCCTTGTCCATAAGCAATTACTACCGTATAAATTACTTAATAAATTGACTCTTATCTACACCATTTTGAAAAGTGAAATTGACCTCCATAATAACAACATACAGGCAGTCCCCGGGTTACGTACAAGATAGGGACAGTAGGTTTGTTCTTAAGTTGAATCTGTATGTAAGTCGGAACTGGCGGTCAGTTTCAGCAGCGGCTGAATCTGGACGCCAGTTCCGACTTACATACAGAATCAACTTAAGAACCCCAGGCGTCCTCAAGTCAGCTGCTGCTGAAACTGACCAGCGCTGACTACAGAAAGCCCGAGGCAGAGTTGCTCTGCCCCGGGCTTCCTGGAATCAGCTGCTGATCAGTTTCAGCAGCAGCTGACTTGAGGACGCCTGGGGCAGAGCAGCTGGGTGCTGCTGGGTTGCTCCAGTAGCGCCACTCCTCGGCGCTACTGGACCAACCCAGCAGCCCCCCATCTGCTCTGCCCCAGGCGTCCTGATTCAGTCGCTGTTGAAGCTGACCAGGGAGACGCGGAGAAAGCCCCGGAGTACACGGGCGGCAGGACCGCGAGGTCCCGCAGTCCGTGTCCTCCGGGGCGAGCCCCATTCGTAACTGCGGATCCGACATAAGTCGGATCCGCGTAAGTCGGGGACTGCCTGTAATTGTGTCACCATAGCCAATCATCACAATATGCAGCGTCATACTTTGCTTCCTGCTCCTTTCTCATATTTTATTTTTTCAGTTATTTAAAATTAATGTATTGTGTGATACAGGTTGAACCTCTTTAATCCAGCACTCTCTGATCTGGCAACATCCATGGGCCAGCAGGATTTTAGTTAGCTGGATCTTCGCTTATCGTGGATGTGACTAAGTTTTTCTGCAGTCCCATTCAGTTGTTTACAACCACCAGTCCTGGCTTTCACTATTCTGTGCTGTTATTTAGCTTTAATTTACCACTAAATGTCTTCTAAGAGCCCAGTAAGCAGTGGAAATGTTGGTAGTACTACTAGAGAATATTGACCTCCCATGGTTTGGCAAATTCTCTGGTTCAGCACTGGTCAGGTTCTGAGGGTGCCAGGCTAGAGAGGTTGAACCTGTAGTAGTGATATTCATTATTACACAACCACCCATTTCCTCAACTTCTTTAATAACTTATTGGGGCTTACTGTATTAGCTCAGCACAAGGTTGCCCTCTTCTGTGAACTTTTCCCAGCATCCCCTTTTCATACTGTCCCTTTAAATTTGGCCGAGAAATCAGGTACGACCCTGAAAGGGTCATTTTTGCAACTGGCTGCTGCTAGCTAAATCTTCCTCTGCCCCCTACTGATGAGTTGTGTTTATTCCTGTTATGTATTCCCTTAGGCTATGTCTAGACTGCAGACTTCTTTCAGAAGAAACTTATCCGGAAGAGATCTTCCGAGAAAACTTCCAAAAGAGCACGTCCACACTGCCAAAGAGCATCGAAAAAGCGATCTGCTTTTTCGAAAGATAGCATCCAGACTGAATGAATTCTATCTCGCATTTAAACTGTGATTACTATGGACGGAGTGGCCACCAGGGCACCTGTGCTTTTTCCTCTTTCCTCTTCTTCCAAAAGAACTCCCTTCTCCCCGTCCCCACACACCTTTTTCTGAAAAAGCTTGTAGAAAGAGGTTTCCTAATTCCGGAAAAAACCCTCTATTCTTTCGATTTTCTTTTGAAAGAACATGATTGCAGTGTGGACATAATTTTAGGAAAAAACTGTAGTGTCGACATACCCTCAGTGTTCCCTTTCTCATTGCTGGGCAGATACAATATTTTTTCCCATTCACAGCTTGCATTTATTTAGCACTAGCTCTGGGCTTGGCACTCGACACTCCAAACAGACAGTGGCTGTTCTGATAAACTTATAGCATAAGGACTTAATCTGACAACTGGTATGGTGCACGTGGCCTCTGTACTGAATTTACAGAGTCCAACCCTAAAGGGAGTTTCATGTCTATTGTCAGAGACAACTGGAAAATTCTTGTGGCTTGAGTTCACTAGCAGTAAAAAAAAACAAAACAAAAAACTTTAGTAGCTCCCCATCCAGCACTTAGATGGAGGCCATGGCCCAAGGCCACCTTTCTGCCATCCTAATGAGGAATATATTTGTAAATCCTGTGCTTTTTAACATTGACCAGTGGGTTACACTTGATCCTTGTGTTCTATGTACCCCTTTGTGCCAGACCGAGAGCGAGAGAGAGAGTGCCTGCTAACAGCTTTTGCTTTGCTTGCTTTTTAGCTCAAGCTATAGCAGAGGCTCATAACTTTGGGATCTCCCCAGTTTAATCCCTACTCTTAGCCCAGTTTGTAACCAATTATACCAAGTACCTTCTTTCCCTTTTTAAAATCTGGTTTTGATTTGTTTTGGCACTCTCTGATCATGGCCCAGCACCTGGCTGGGTCAGCCCATCATTTCCCCTCCTCATGCCAGAGCTCAGGCTTTTAGATTCAAATTTTGCAGTCTGGAGGAAATGGTGCTATAAACATAAAACACAAAACAGTGACAGAAAGTCATCAGTCCTGCTCATTCGTCATCCCGATTTAAAAAAAAAAATGCTAAAAGCACACAGACACACAATACATGACTAGAAATGAAGGGCAAGGAAGAAATGTAGGCTAAGGAAAGTAGGTATTGTTTAACTTTTTCTAATGTGCAATTACTTTTGCTAATCAAAGGCTATTAAAAAGAAACTCGTCAGGGAAATATTTTACCTGGAGGTCTGCTCGTAATAGAGGAGGCATATTGTCAATAATAGACTTTTAGTCACACTTTTCTTTGATTCTTTTTAAAAATGGTTTATCAAGTATTTATAAATGACTGCGAGATGTTGGGAAGTATGTTACAAACACAAGCTATACGTGTGATAGTTTGTTGTAAGCACATCCAGTAGAAGGGTGATGTAGATCGCATAAGCCACATAGGATATGTCTACACTGCAATTAAAACAGGTATGGCACTGAGACCAGGTCTATATTAGACCTGGACGATCAGCTTAAGGTATGCAACTCTAGCTATGTAAATAACATAGCTGGAGTCTATGTATCTTAAGCACCGTCTCCATGGTGGGAGGTTTGCTCCCATCAACTTCCCTTATTTCTTGTGAATTGAGGGGGTATTGGTGCCAACAAGGGACACCCCCAGCTTTCCATTTAGCGAGTCCTTCCTAGACCCGCCAAATTGAACGCCAGAAGATTGATCTATGACACAGTTAAGTACAGACGTGGCCTGAGTCTCAGAGACCATGACTCAGGCCATAAAAATAGCAATGTAGATGTTCAGTGAACTTGCTCTAGCCCACGCCCAAATGGCTACACTGGCCAGGCCAGCAGTGGT